AGACCACAAAGTGTGGAAGAAATGAACAACTAATACCATTTTGGCAAGGTTTTAAAAATTGTTGTATATTGTTTGCAACATCTCGGTATCGAAAGGTGGCAATATCATTTTGGACCACTATAATGTTGAGAGCATAAATCACGTGTATCAACTGCAACAAAACAATGTTGCAGCCATAATAGAACCATGACACATTGATAGAATGCATGACTAGATTTCACTTACCCAAAACACCATTTTTAACCTAATAATTTTACTAACCTACATGAAGCATAGCAACATTCATAAAAGCAACTCAAAATCCAAAGATCTCAAACTCAATAATTTCTACATTTTTTTTTTAAATCTCAAAGTTTCAAAATCACAATGAATTCCTCTGCTAACCTTGGTCCTCTATTACGAAATCACGCTGCTCACTTGTGTCTTCATTGTTTTAGGGATGTCAACCCTAGTTAGTTGTTGATATGTGCAATTAAGATTCAAAGAAAAAAAAACGAAAACAAAAAGATAGTGCTTCAGAAAGAAAAGTTAAATTGAGAAAAGAGTTGTTAGATGCAGTGTTTTAAAACCCAGACCGACCCGGCCGGTCGGACCGGTTGGACCGGGAACCGGTGGTCCAGCCGGTTCGAATCTGAAGTTGGATCGGTTATGCAGTCGACCCGTTTCAAACCGGATTGAACCGGTCAATTTTTTGGTTCAACCGGTGAACTGGTGGGTCAAACCGGTTCTACCACTTTTTTTTCTTATTTTTTTTTAAATTTTTTTAAGGGACCATAAATCACAAAAATAATAATGAAAATTGAATCCCTTAATGAAAAAGCAATTATTAAATATAACAATGACTACTTGTTCTAATATATTTGTTTGCAATATATACAACTTAAATAACTTTTATAGTATATTATTAATTTTAAATTATATATTTAATAATGCAATATCTATGTAAATATTACATATATTATTTTGTGATATTAATTGCAAGCATATTATATATGTACATATTATTTATATTTTTAATTTGTATTAATATACCGTTTAACATGTAATTTTTTTATGTATTTTTTTACAAAATAAAAATAAAAATAATTTTAAATAAGATAGAAAAATTGAAATTTAAAATAAGATTGAATTTATTAAAATTCATAAGTATAAAATATATTTAATATAAATATTTTTTAATAAAAATCGAGTCATGCGGTTCAACTAGTGACCCACCGGTTCAACCTTTGACCCACTGACCCAGTACCTTAACCAGTTCGATGACCGGTCCGGTTTTTAAAACTATGGTTAGATGAGATAAAGAAGGGAGAGGCTTTTATTGAGTTATACGACTTTAGTACGTGCAAATTTAGTTAGTAGGGCACAAAGTGAAGTTGGTTTTAAAAAAAAAAAAAAAAGAAATTGAGAAATTTTTTTAAAATTAAATATAGGAAAGAGGGAGATGGTTAGAAGTAAGATGTTTTTTTTCTTT